CCATGTAGAAAGGACGGCACTGCAACGCTGGACTTGCCCTTACTCTGGGCTCCCTCTTTATTCTGGCAACTGGTAAAAAGAAAACAGCACACAGTCTTCATTAACAGTGTGCAAAGCAACTGCAACATTCAGTTCACCAGCGTGGGAGTTTCTTTTCCTTTTTTTTCTTTCCAAACATAACATATACAACATAACATCAACAAAGTCTTTCTTTTAAAAGTTCTGGCTGAAACCAAACCTGTGATTGTATAGTAGTGGTATTATTTATTTATTTTTCTCCTTTTTCCTAACCAACAACAACAATAACATATAAAAACAGATTTTCTATTATAAAACAATCATCATTGTTCATCATTTTTTTCCTATACAACAGCATCAATTAAAACTTATACTTAACAGCGCCTACCTGGTACAAAGAAAACAGCACACAGTTGTCATTAACAGTGTGCAAAGCAACTGCAACATTCAGTTCTGTTAAAAAGAATTAGAACAATTACAATCTCATAGAGAAGCATTAGAGCTGAGTGCAAATCAAAAAGCACCCGACTAGCTAACGAGTATTAGCTTAGCATGCTAATTTAAAATGCTACTCGTGAATAAAGTTACTACCCATGCATCAAAATGCCTGTAACTTTCAGGATACATGCTAGTACTGCTTACAATCAAAATACATGTTGACAATTACCACTATAAGAATGTTTTCATTAATACAATTACAAAATTGACAACAGTATCGCTCACTAGCACCTACCACCAGCTTGGGAGTTTTTCTCCTTTGCTGACGCATGCGCTGTGCAGCAATTTGGAACCTTAACAGTTGCAGTTGCTGTGTCTGTCCACCAGGTGGCTCCAACTATTCACAAAGCACATCAATTTTGAGGAAATTCATTAAGCTATTTTCTAACTCTGTTACATCTAGCCTTCAGATTTGCGTCACCAGCTGTGACACCACAGTGTGCCGTTGTTCCTTGCTATCTAAAATATATGAGGACACTGGCGTAAATTCTTGACAGTCTCACACTTGTTTGATCAGTTTTCTGTTTGACGTTCATTCAGCTGTGTCAAAATCCCAGAGGAACCCACCTGATGGATTACTAAAGTTTTATTTAATCTAATCTAATCTAATATCTTTGATCTCAGCCAAACCGATTTATTCCGGTACAAATAAAACACATAAAAAAGTCCAACAATTACTTTTTTAAGTTATCCGAGTGACTTGTATATCATATTTAACCTGAGTAGCGAAAGACAGCGGGGGTCATGTTGGTCGTGTGTAAATTACGTTGAGTAGGCTAACCACGTTATTACATTAATGCATGTAAGGTAAAGTAGCAAACACCGTCGTAGTTACATGCGGCTGTCTTCTTGTTTGATGGCAGATACTCCCTTCACCCTGGCCAAAAGAAAGGCCAAAGAAAAAGAGCAAAACAGTTAAACATGAGATGCGATCATGGCTCATGAGTTAGGTGTTCGTCTTGTAATCGGAAGTTTGCCGGTTCGAGCCCCAGCTCAGACAGTCTCAGTCGTTGTGTCCTTGGGCAAGACACTCTACCTACCGCCTACTGGTGATGGCCAGAGGGGCCGATGGCGCAATATGGCAGCCTCGCTTCAGTCAGTCTGCCCCAGGGCAGCTGTGGCTACAACTGTAGTTTGCCTTCACCAGTGTATGAATGTGAGAGCGAATGAATAGTGGAATTGTAAAGTGCTTTGAGGGGTCCCGAAAAGCATAAATGCAATCCGTTATTATTTTTGGACAAGGTTTGTGTTTTTTCCATTGTTTAAGCACTGCTTCCAGCCAAGAGTGATACCATATATGCCCCATAGCTGCAGAAAAGGCTAACATTGTTATCTTTTTACCAAAAAAACAGCTAAACATGAGAGGTTTTTGGACAAAGTTTGTGTTCTCCATTCTTTAAGCACCGGTTTGAGCACTGTTTAGGCACCGGCACAGTTTCAAAAGTACCGGTTTGGCACCGGATAAAACCTAAACAATACCCATGCCTAATGACATGACTACCTTTAACAGACTTTATTTGAACTGGCAGAATGGAAAGAAAACCGCTGTCTCTTCCGGCCCCTGTATGACCACAAATTTTCATAGGAGTTCCATAGTTTCATAGGAGTACATTCTTTGAAAAGGAGGGCTCTCCAAAGGACTCTGGACTTAAACCATTGTTATCAATATGGAGGACAGTGGTATGACCTTTACCACATGTCCTACATGTCAAACGCTTAGCACAGTCCTTACTTATGTGCCCAGCACCTAAGCAACCAAAACACAGCCCTTCCTCCTTCAGAAAAAGCATTTGTCTCTCTGCTTCTTCCGCTGAAACTGTTGACACTCCGTTCGCTCTTCATCTGTAACGTCGGTTCCAAAGCCGTGCTTTGTGCACCGATCGTTTCTAGAGTAACTGCGTGCCTGTCCCAACCCATCACTAGCCTTCCCCGCGTTTGGGTCTAGCCAGCACGCCACACGGGCACGCCGAATTACTGTGTTTAGTTTGCACGTTTCCCCCGATCATGACAGTTATATGTTTTCCTTACATTTTCTGTATGTATATTCTTGGTTGCTGACTTTATATTTTGCACACTCAAAATATTTCCATCATTGGCGAGATTCACACTGCACCTGCAAAGGAAAAATCAAAACCTCATATTCTGTTTGGTAAACACTTTGTGTGTTTTTTTAAATCATGCTGCGGTAAGCGTCAGCATCTAACATAGAGCAAAGAATGCAGTAGTCCTCAGTTTTCCCTGAAACACATTCATGGCCATTAGCTTTTAATCAAATATTATTTCTTGAGTAATTAAAATATATTAGTACAGTTTTTCCAGAAATACTTCATGGCAAATTAGTCTCCTGAATTTTTTTAGACGCTGGACACAGCATGGCCTTATTTTTATTACCCTTTGACTCAGCTGTGACCTGCTTTTAATTAGTTCAGGGTCAGTTTCCTTTTCATTAAGTCTTCTTACAAGTACATCAGAATGATCTGCTGTCATGCTAACACAAGTTGACACATGGTTTAACAACATTTCACATCAAAACCACGAAGGGAAGATCAATTGAAATAGTTATATCCAACATTATTATGTTCTAACTTAAGGAAATACACAAAGTGTGACTCTTGAACAAACCTCCTTCAATGTTCAGAATGATCAAAGTGGATAACAAAGACATTTCTCTCAGTCACCTGTTTGTGTTTATGAAAAACAAGGTACTAATCAGCAGTGTTGGTCAAGTTACTTGAAAAAAGTAATCAGTAACTAATTACTGATTACTTCCCCAAAAAGTAATCCCGTTACTTTACTGATTACTTATTTTCAAAAGTAATTAATTACTTAGTTACTTTTTAAAAACATGATTTACACCCTGAAGAGGTGATAAA